GGGGTGGGCTCCTCCCTTCCTCATCGTCTCCTGCCCCGAGCGACCCAGGTGGAAACTGCCCACGGGCCAGTGCAGCCCTGGGAGCGGGCAACGTCGGCCTGAGTGCCTTGAGGCTGTGAGATGCCCGAAGGGGAGCACGAAAGGGTCCCAACCACGTCCCGAAGGGAAGCGCGAGCACCGTCGCAGCCTGGCCCCGGCCTCCCCGCCCATCCTCAAAGGCGCCATGCCAGTGACAAGGTGCAGACAGCGCTCCTCCTCCATCTCACAGCCAGTGCTCCACAGGGGCTGTGACCAGGACCCCTCCCAGGACATGAAGGAGGCTGACACGTGGTCACAAAGTCTCTGTTTTTCAATGTCCACATGAGCCGGGCAGACGTCCTCGGCGTACACAAATGACTCAGCGAGGAGCCTGTGGCCCAGGTTGGGTCTGGCCAGAACCACGCACTGTCTCCAGAACAGGTCTGGGGACCAGCGCTGAGCAAGAGGCACGTCCACGTGGCCTCCAGAAGGGCCTCAGCCCCACTTCCTGCCAAAGCGATGAAGACATTCACCCCACACCGTGCAAGTCCCTCCTGGACGCCAGAGACCGGACTGTGGATGCTGAATGCGCGGGACACGTCTTTCAGGGGGCATGTGTGTTCTGCTCGCCCAGGTGTGAGCACCCCGAGCATCACAACGCAGCCAAAGGGGAACGCAGAAGGGCTGGGCAGTTTCGCGGGAGGAAATTGCTCTTGTGCACGCAGACCTTTCGGAAACAGATGGGGGGCGGCCTGTGATCTCCCGGGGCCGCCCCGCAGAGAGGGAGGCCAGCACCCGGTCTGGCGACTTATCCAGCAGCCGTGCCCATGTCCACACCAAGTCAGGATGGCAGGCGTCCTAGGTGCCCAGCAGCCCGGCTCTCAAAGGCCACCTGCCTGAGACCAGCTCTCTCCAGAGGGGATGATTCTTGGTCCTCCGCCTGTCTCCTGAACGCACTGTCTCCATGGGCGCTCCCTCCCCACCCCAACTGTAAAGGCCTGACTCCTGCTCCACCTGTTCTAGGGGACACACAGCCCGGTACCTGGGGACCCCTGTGATGTATCCTGTGCCCAGACTCTGGTCCTGATACCACCTAGGCCAGTCTCCCGAGGACCCAGGCACCTCATAGCGGGCAGGTCCAGAACTGAGCTCTTGCGTGTCCCCAACCAGTTCCCTCTGGGCCTCCACTGGCCCCTCGCCCAGGCACCCTCCCTCGAGTTCCAGGCCCGGTCCTGACCAGACCTGTTGCGTGCACACGCTCTCCCATGCTCCAGGCCCCTGGGCTTTGCTGTCCATTGCGGACTGCGCTGCGCCTTCATGGTGAAGGTCAGCCTTTCTGCCCAGCTGGCACCTCCCACGAGTGAGCAGGCACTGACTGACTCTCTGGTGCTGCCCCTCCCGGCCCGGGCCCCTCCGGGGTCTCACCCCATGGACAGCCCTGGCTCCCCTGCCTCGGACAGCCCCTGGGGCTAAAACCCCACTCGCCAACTCGACCCAGGCTTCCCGGCCTGCACGTCAGTGACCCACTCTCACCAAGGGCCTGGCCTCAGCCTTCTCCCTCGAGGTGTCTGCCCTTCACCTTTCAGGGTGCACCTGTGAGCCACTCGCCTGCTCGCGTGTGTTCCTGGCGCCTCCCCTGCCTCTCCCACCAGCCCACAGCTCCGCGAGAGAATGGACTGGTCTCCTACTCACCACCTATCCTGCAGGTGTGACACCGAGAACAAAAGACAGACTATGCCCCTTCCTCCCCCGAGTCCCATCCAACAATCCTAGAATAAAGAGTGAGCTCAAAACGCGACAGGAGGTGACAACAAGAAGCGCTCCCAACCTGTGTGACCTGCACGTGCCCCTGTGGCGCCTCTGGAACTGACCCCACTTACGGAGGCACCACCAGCCCATTCAAAGTACCTGAACTAATGGCCCCGGGGCGTTTTCTGGGTTGGCATCTGCCTTCCGAGGAGCTGGCAGGGCAGGTGGCTTTGCTGGCCTCACCTTCTCCTCTTCCGCTGACCTGTCATTTGGAGCTAACAAAAGAACCTCTGTCACCTGCAGGGTTCCACAAGGCTTCCTGGAGACTCAAAGTCTTTTGCAGAAGACACTGGGACAGGTGCCATGCTTATCAAAGGCCCCCGGGGACCTCCGAGAAGCCACCGAAGCGAACTTGAGAACGACCGGAGGGTCGAACCCTCGTCAAAGCACTCGGCAGTTTCCTGCCTGACCCCCAGCCCGCAACCCAAGTATTTTGCCAGCATGTCTTTCACGCACGAAGTGTGCGCTTGTAAATGGCGACCCACAGGCAATTTTCCTGGCGGGCTGCAGCATCTCATTAGCTTTGCTCCTAAATGGGCCACCTGAGAGGCACTCAGGACTCTCTCCGCCCTCACCATGACTCTACCGGTCCCTTCCAAACACATGGCAACACATGTGTGACAAGCACGGGATGCACTTAGAGCGGGCGGTCACCCTCAGGACAGAGAACGTGGCGCCACATGCGGGACGCAGTCAGACGTCACCACCTGATCCAGCAAGGTGGGTGAAAACACTCTACGTTTCTCTGTCCAGCTCGCTGCCCTTCAGTGCCTCCAGGGGCGATTCCAGGCCAACGACCAGAGCGCTCGGCCAGTCAGCCCGGTCACCAGCTCTACCGTGTAAGGCGCCCAGGGGGCTGGTACCTTTCCACGGGTCGGCCACGCTGATGCAGGACAGGAGCCCACAAAGGACCATGAAGGCCAGCAGGAAGAGGACCGCGTTCCGCTGGAGCCGTGACAGCTGCTTCCATTTCTGAGGGAGGAACAGAGAGCGACACCTTTGACTCAAAGAACACAGCAGGGACTCTCTCCAGCTGTGACAGGCTCAGTGAGGACAATGAGCAATTCCAAAGGTCTAAGGTCCCCATGTGAAGTCCTCTTGTGTTTGCACTGGGGGAAGGTCTCTCTCAGCGGGGTCCCAGGCTAGGCCTCACTCCAAGTGACACTGCACTGGCACATGTCAGATGCGGTCCGAGACCACCCGGCACACGGTGCTCACACAGGTGGTGCGTGCGCTCATGGCACCGCGGCAGAACTTACAGCCAGGGAACCCAGGCTTTACGCGCAGCGCGGTGACAGCGAGGGCCGCCCGGAAACCCGCCCGGCGCCCTCCGACTCCGCCCCGCACGCCAGCCCTGCAGGCCGGGACCTCCGCTCCCTGCACCGGGACAAGTGTTCGCGCCGCAGGTCTGGGGGCAACGGGAGGGGACGAGGACGACGCGACCCGCCGGGCCCGACCCTCACCCTCCAGCACGAGCGGCGCTGCCGGCTTTTGCTGCCGTCGTAGCTCTGGTCAAGGCTCAGCGTCACCGAGATGAAGTCCCTACGTGGCGCCGGTGGGGCCGACGGATACATGACAGCGACGGAGGTGGCCCAGGCGACCCCGCCCACTGGCGGCGTCAAGAGGCCAGGATCTGAGGGCGGCCGGCGGCTCTGGTCTTTGGACACCCGCGGGCAGCCATCGCAGCTCCGGCAACACCCCGCCCATCGCGCTCGCCGCCAATGCGCCTGTGCCGCACTCTCCT